TGCACTCCCACATGCACACCCCCACTAATAAATCGCACAACGACTGAGCGTCCCCCATGGCACATCTCCCTGCCTCCTTTCTGCTGCCCCCCCAATGCTTCACTTCAAAGGAGAAAAGTGAAGGGGTCTGGAGCAGCTGCGACCCCTTCCCAGGGAGGGCTGGAGCCCAGGCTTTGCGGGCTGCTCCTGCAGGAGATCTGCATGCCTCTCTCCTCATCTTTGCCAGCCTCCGGCCTCCCCCTAGGCAAGGCTGATAAAGCTGTGCTGATGGGACAGAGGCCGAGCCCAGGGGCAGACTGAAAATGACCTTCTTCACATTTCCCCCTTCAGCCAAAAGGTTGCCGGAGAGTTTGGGCGCAAGATTTAGCATTGCAGGGCTAGCAGCAGCCATTCCCTTGGAGAAGGGGGTGGGAAGGGGAAGAACAGAGGTGGTGGATTGTGCAGGGCAGGGATGGGGGGCAGCTAGAGCCTTGACAGCTGATGCTTTGGGACCTAAGGCTGCATCTTTGCAGCCCTTTAATCAGGTTTAAAAAGGGGATTCTGATGGGTTTCACACTGGGCAGAAACCAGAGTCCTAAATAGAGTCCATTATCCCCCTCATCCCACCCTTGCCTTGTATAGAACCCTCCCCCCCCCCCCAGGTGTAACAGGTTAAGAATAGTGCTGACTTGAGATTGATATTTTGTGTGTGTGTGTGTGTGTGTGTGTGTGTGTGTGTGTGTGTGTGTGTTAAACAAGCGCTGAAACCGGCACGTATTGGTTAAAGGGTCCCCTGCGCTCACTGCCTGGGTTATTATTACAGTACAAATATTGAAGGAAGCAAGGGGAGGGCAGAGCCAGGCACAGAGCTCAAACTTTGCCTTGTCTTTAGAGAAGACAAGGGGAGTGAGAGCAGGATGGAGAATGGACACTGAAAAGCCCAGGGAACAGCCCTGGCTTTCTCTGCTGGCTCCCTGCCTGCCCCAGGATGGTTAGAGGCAGGAGATCCAGGCAGAACTTTCTCCCTGAGGTTGCCAGGCTCAGAGCTTGCAAGCGGCAAAGGAAAGCCCTGCTCTTGGGGAACTGGGCATCATGCAAAGCCTTGAACCCACGAGCTTGACCCGTTCTCCATAAATTATTCCAGAGCTGGACTCGGGCAATGAGCACAGACAGCCAGAGGACTCTACAAACACCAGTCGCTCGTGTGCAGGCAGCCGCTGCGAGTTGATGCTGGATGTGCCCTGCCAAAGGGAGATTTGCACACAAAAAAAAGTTGTAGAAAATAGTTTGCCAAAGTTGAGAGCTCTGCTGGAGCCTGAAATCTCCTCCCCAAGCTCCCAGCTCACATGCCTAAAACTTCAAAATCCTCTGCTTTGCCCTTAATCATTCAGCATGGTCTTGTTTAAGAGTAAGGTGAAGCAGCAATTAAATCCCTGCTCACCCGGTTTGAATAAGCCAGATGTTCTGTTCTGTAATGGGACAGTTTATCCGAAATAGCAAGTAACCTTTAGAACACAAATCACCAGTTCACTTCTGCATGCGGGGCAGGGGGGGGCAGGGTATGGAGTGAAGTGCTTTGCACCACAGCGTGAAGTACTTTGCACCATCTCATCTGATCCCCTCACAAATCAATGAATGTATCCTCTCGGCATACTAGCAGGTAGAGACATGCCTGTAAAGGCTTTAAGGTAGCATAGTGACTAAAGATTAGAACCGTTACCTTGTTTAGGACACTCTGTGGTCCCGTGTAGAGGTGAGACCCAAGGCAGTATAACACAAGCACCCAACCTGGCAAAAGGTGCTGAGTAGATGGGTCCCAAGAGAGGGGAGAGGAAAGAGCTGGAGCTGGGGGCTGCAGAGGGCACTGAGCTATTCTCAGTCTGTCCCAAGCGCATCATGCAATGGAAAGTTGTGACCTACTCGCACTATAGGATCCCCAAATAGCACCCCAGCATCTGCATCTTCCCAAGAACAGCCAATAACCTTCCAGAGGTGTCAATGAAAAGAAAAGTGCACAGTCCCAGAGCATTCCCTGCCACACTAGAGTCTCGACACAGAAGTCTTGAGCATCCATGTTTTCCAGCAGGCTGACATCCTGATCTTGCCACCTCTGCTTAGATGAGCAGTCCCACTGTTTTCAATAGGAGATGCAAGTTCTCAAGATGAGGCCCTCAAGGGCTCCTTCTTGCATCTTCAATTCTTCTTGGTCTTCCTTAAATTTGCTCACAAGTTAGTGCTACAGGACTGGACGTACAGTCCATAGTACATTATTTAGTACATTCTTTCTAAAGAATCTCTCTGAAGTTTTCTACTTACTACAGGAAAAGCTTCTTAAGGATGATTTTACTTTGGGCATTTGCCCATTCCAGACTGGGAAGCTAATCCTTCCTTTTTATCCACTCTTGTGAACACAGGGTCCATTCCTACCAGGTATAAAATAAATGCAACATGGACCAGTTGATCTCAGTGGAGCAAGAGCTGGCTTGCAATAGGGCTGTGTTTTAACGTAGAGTTACCAGGATACCTCTAGATTATATAGTTGTTGTATTTTGGTAGCATGAGGTTTGATACATGATAGAAATCCCATTGTCCTAGATGCAGTGTATGCCCATGGCTAGCAACAGGTCTTGACTTGAAAACCAAAGGTGTTTGTACATGTGAACTAGACACTTGATACAGTTTTTTGTTTTCCCCAAACCGGTGCTGTTCTATGGCTGTTTAGCAAACGGTGTGAAACGCATGGTTTTGTCTCAGCCCCGTTCTCAGTGGCCCGTCACAAGCACAGCAATGGCAAGTGGCACTAAGTTCCCACCTCGGATTCAGGTTCAGTCCAGGCTGACCTCAGACATGAGCCACTCAACAGCAAAGGGAGGCCCTGCTCTTGGGGAACTGGGCATCTCATGAAAAGCCTTGAACCCACGAGCTTGGCCCTGTCTCCATAAATTATTCCAGACCTGGACTCGGCTGGGAGCCCAAGGATCAAGTGAGCACAGACAGCAAACCGATGCATTATCTTTCCCAGAAAACTCATCCCCGAGGCCAGGGCTGAAGCACGCTGGCAGGGCTGCTGCCTGTGCTGTATCAGTTCCATGGAGAAAAGGACTTCATTCTCCAGAAAACATTTGCTTTCCCTGAAATCCCTTTGCACATACACCCTTTCTTGGCAATTTGATCAGCGAGGGGTAAGTTCCTGGACTGTCATTGGGTGACATTTGGATTTATTTTGTTAACTGCTAATAGTGACCTGGTGCTATATGTGCCTTAGACAGAGTAGCTGACAATCAATGTTACAACATTACAAGTGCAGATCACTGGCTTTCACTGGTAGTGAAAAGGCAATGCCTTCCAAGAATCCTGTAGATTGGGATGGCCAACCCACTGCATGTATGCCACAGGTAGTACAGGCAGCCTCTGTGTGCCGCATGTGGCAAATTGAGGAGGGAGCCAAAAACAGAGCAGCAGATCAGGCAGAGAGCAGAAAGCAGCCAATCAGAGCAGCATTGGGGAAGGGTATAGGGTTAATTCATGGCACGCCTGCCAGAAAGGTTGGCCCCCACTAATTAAGAAAATTGTCACAGTCGCTTTCTTTCTGTGGCATGCTGTAGCTCATGCAGGAAAGCCAGATTAGAAGAGCTCAGGATACAGCCGTCCAGCACCTGTGCGCAGTCTGACGGACATCAGGACCTTCCCTGTATGTGAGGGGCTGTTCTGCTGTCTGCATGGGATGGGCAGGCTTCATGTTGTCCCATGAGTTGGGCACACAGGAATCCCAAGGCAGGCAGCATTTCCTGTAGTCTGGGAAAGAGCCTAAAATAGGGATTATACAGAGATTCACTTTCTGAGATGAAAAGAAAGTCTCATTCAAACAATTTACTTCATGAAACAAATTCTTTTAGTGTCCCTGGGTAGCATTAAAAAAAATCTTATGGCACGCTGTAGTGGCCCATTCCCCAGACAGCAGAAGGTTACGCGCAGGCCTCAGTCACTTGTTGCTCTGAAGTTATTCCTCCATTCCTCCCTTGTCATCACATAGTGGTCTCTCAAGCAGCTGGGAGTCTTTCCCTGAAGCATTGAAACCGATACCTCCACATAGACTGGCCAGCATGAAGTGCAGGAGAGCGTCACCGTTGTATCCCAGCTCCACGCTCCTTCTTTGGGAAGAGAACAGGCACTCTGCAAGCAAAGCAGAGGTGTCACGTACCGCAAACTCGAGGGGATGCGTGGAAAAACATAGCAAGTGCCACACGTTCGGACTGTGCTAGTCAAGGAAAGGATTTAAACAGGCTGCAGTTCATGTGGGCTCTGAATTAATCTACCGGGTCCCCAAAGCCAGATCCTGCAGGTGTTCCTTAGGGAAGCTGCTCACATCAGCAGGGGCTGCAGGGCTGGGCTTGCATGTATGGGTGACGTGACACCCAATCCTGACAGGTGAGATGCTTCTTCACTGCCATAAGTTCTCTCTTTCCATCCCCCTCAAGTTTCCCTTCCCAGCCCACCCCAAGTCAAGCAACTGGCATGTGGCATGCTGGGCAGATGGTACAGCAGCACCACACATACACAGCACAGCTGTGCACATATGGCACACGTGTTCCAGCTTGTTTGCTAGCTCTCCAGATGGCAGTGAGGCTTTTTATTCTTGGTGCCGGAAGAACCAACCGCAGTTGTTTCACAGAAGGCGAGAGTAATCCAGCCATGTCGCTGAGTACTTAGCCATCCCCGCTCCGCCTGCCTATTCAGTGCGCTCCTCTGGGATGAGAGCAAGAAGGACAGCTGTACGAGCTGGAAAGCAATCGGCCTTTTGAAAAGGCGAGAGGCACTCAGTTATTGCTATGCTGCCTGGGTCTTCTCTCTCACTTGAGAGCAGAACAGTGCATAGCCACTGTGAAGATGATGTTGTCAGATGGCAACGAGCTGAGAGCAGTCGCTTGCCCCCAGAGATGAGCAAGGGTGACTTCTGTTCCTTGCTGCCAGAAAAGCTTTTCCCTGATACCTCTGGATCCTTCTTCAAAGTAGTATCTTCCCAATGATACAAAAGAACATTAAGATTAGCAGGGTTTACCCTGCTTTATGCTGGGACAATGGGAAAGGGCCCTGCATGCTCTAAAACACATTAAAATAGTACAAGCGCTTTTGCTAGTTTTTATCTCTGCTGCTACCTATTCTCACAGATGGCAGAATTAAAACCCTGGGAGAGGCCAGGGACTACAGGCCTCTGAATTTTAAGCACATCTCATAGACATGGCTCCCTTCCTCCCTGGAGATTCACTGATTTTTTGGGGGCAGCTCTCCACCCTGCTGGAGTTGCCAACGTTATTCTGTTCTGTCCGGGTCCTCTTGCTACACATCTCCATGGTATGTTAGCCTCTTCCTTTAGGACCATTGAATGTCATGACTTGCCTTTTTCCATCACCTCTTTTACCCTCCCTGGGATTCCTCCTGGTCACTATTAGGAAGAGTAGGCAAACATCTGTCAGGATTGGTTTAGGAAGAGCTGATCCTAGCTTGAGGCAGAGCGTGAATTAGATGACTCCTCAAGGTCCCTTCCAACCTTATTCTCTGCAATTTCTATTCTTGCCTTTAGCAAGCCCAGACTCTACACAACTACTTTGTTTACAAAAACCAAGCGCTTCCCCTTCCAACCTTACTTCTCTATGGTAATGAAGCTCTGTACTATTCTATGATCATGCTAGTGAAACTCCAGTAGCTGATCACTGATGTTACTCCTGATTTAGGCCAATGTCACAGCAAGGTCAAGCTATAGCGAAAAGAGATTGAAGGTTGGCATCAGTGTGAATTCAGCACCATGAACACCTTTTCAGCCACTCCAGTTATGAGGCCAGGCCCCTCAGCAGAGTAAACCTAGATCAGGGACCAGCAAAAGTGTAACCAGGTCTCCTTGTCTAGTTGTACATTCAGGTTTGCAGCAAGAGGACTCTTAAGTCAAAAGATGTGCCTGGGCACTCACTTGTGTCTTCACCAAACTCAGGAGCTGCCAGTCTATGTGTTAAGGAGGGCAAGGGCATGTCTGTAAGACAGCATGAAGGTGTAGGCATATGTGGGTTGGCTTTAATTTACCTACGCTGAGGTACAAAGCCCATCAAGACAGAACAACATGGGCTGCATCCTAACAACAGGTGTGCATACCCAGGGTCCCTTGAGCTCTGGATGTTAGCATAGGCCAAAGCCCATGACACCATGTCCTCACTAATCTTTTGAATCACTCTGGCTAGATTAGAGCTATAACTATATCAGCATTTTTCTAAGCTTACCCACAACATTTCTGCACCTCTTTCTCTTCTGCAATTGGCAGGACTTCTGTCCGTGCTGATGTGTGTTCTGGGGATATTTTAGTCGGGGTATTCCTGGCTTTTTTCTTTGCTAATAGAGCTGAATTTCCCCCCCTTTTAGCATTCCTTCACCGACAGCTACAGGCATCTGTTACTTCCCTTTGGTTGCTACTTTATAGTAGCTGAGCCAGTGTAAAAAAAGACCTGACATCCATAGTGCTGAGCTCTTCAGCCCACTGATGGCCACCAACAGTGTGTGTAACGGGGAGAAGATTAATGAGTGGAATAGTGTAGTCAATGAAAAGCCTCCTGTTGACTTCCTTTGGAGTTGAAGCAGATCACAAAGGTTTATTCCAGCCCTGTTGCTGTCAATGAAGGGACTCCCAATGACTTCAGTGACAGCTGAAATGGGGGAGGAAACCCTGAATTTAGGCCATATCCTCCAAAGGATCCCAAAGTTGTAGCATTTCCCTTATATACTGTCACTGAACACAGCATGAATCTGGGTTCCTTGGAGGTTTAAACCAGTAGTGAGTGACACTACTGATATTTATAGTGCCCTGGGTGCACATGGTATTTATGGCCACAGGAGATGACAAGGCCCCTTGAAATCAGAATCAAAAGCCAGCAACAGAACAAGGGAGAGGAAAGTAAGGAAGACAATGGAGGAGAGGACAAACTTCCCCAAAACACTGAATAAGGTTCAGTTCTTGTTGTCCACGTGGGGGTAGTTGTTGCTGCTTGCTATAGAGGTGACTTTGTAGCCTGCTATACAATGCTGTTCCTGACAATTCATACTTCCTCTTCCAGCTGTAGATTCTGTAACTGACCTTTCCGCTCTCCTTAGACCTGATCACTTCCACCAAAATCAGAGAAAAGACTCCTATTGATTTCAGTGGGAGTTGAATCCATCTTCCAAGTCCCTGCCTGGCCCCAGGTTGGCTCTCAAATTACCCTCATCAGCACCTAACATCAAGGTGATGCAGTGCATGAGTGCCTGAGAGTCTAACCATGGCTACTGTGATGCTCAGCACCTCTATTCACATCCCGCATGGGCTTTGCTTCCCAGCCGAGTTCGATCTCACCCCACTTCCCAGTTAAATTCGGTCCCCAGCATAGCTCAGGCAGCCATGCTTATGCACAGGGGAAGGCATAGGGGAGGTGGGAGAGCTCTGAGCTGCTCAAGAAGAGGGTTGGTTTTCTCCTTGAAGTCAACACTGCCTGAGAAGCTCTTTTCCTGGAGGTACTCTGTTTGCAGACGCTCACTGACCCAGGACAGAGCAGCAGCAAAGATGGTAGCAGAAACAGGACAAGCCTCTAGGAGCACTTAGACGTTGGGACCAAGTCTAGCTCTGGTGTAAACAGTGTTAAGCTTCACTGAAGCTTATCCACTTACCCCTGACCTGAATTTGGCCTGTAGTTCTTAGAAGACCAGGAGAAAAAGGAGTTCCCTTCTGCGCACACCCCAGTTCCACTCTTGAGGGTGGTTTCAACCTAGGTCTTGCCAAAGCACTGCTTCAGTGTGGTCCTGGCAGCATGAGCCTCTCTTTTGAGTCTATGCAATTCTTTTGCTACAACTACAACAGTGGAAGCTGAGTACATCTGTCCCCAATAGCCACAACATTATGATAAAGCAAACAGGCCACCCAGTTGCTTCACCCACATCATGAGATCACATGAGACAAATCCTCAGCTGGTGCAAACATGCACATCTCCATTGGCTGAAGGAGAGATCTGCTGATTCCACTTGCTGGAGACCCAACCACTGTGCTCACAGAGCTGAAAGAAGCGGTTTCTTTAGGTTCCTAACCAACAGACTCCCTGTAGGGTTAACTGCAAACAGTGATCTTAGTGCCGAGTCAGCCCTGCTGGATTCCAGTCCATAGTTCCAGGGAACACAGTTGTTACAGTGACCTAATGCTCAGGTCACGTATGTCCCTAGACCGGAATTGTGTTGTATGATCACCGCTCTGTTGTGCTCTTTGCTCAGCATGGTTGGAGGCAAAACCCCAAAATCATAGTAAAACACAGAACAACAAACCTTTCTGTGATGTTCAGTCCTAAAGCTGCCTTCTCTGATGTTCAGCTTCTTGTTGAGGTTGGTGGAAGATCTGAGTATTGGAGTCAAGTCCATCCTGAGAGTATGAAAGAGAATTAGTCCTGATAATGCTGCCTTGGAAGTGCAAGATTTAGTATTATTAGTGTACACATTAGTGCCCTGGTAGAGCCTCCTTACATGACAGCAGTCTTCTTCCACAATTGGAAAAGAAACAATATCTCTTAAGTCTTAGTCCCATACTTGAAGTCAATGTCAGGGTTTGATGTTGTGTGTTAGGACTAGTCCCATATACTTTATAGCAAGGCCTAACATCTTGAACCAGTAAATCACCTGAGCATGCAAAAAAAGCATTTCTCTATATGAGAAAGCTCTGTTTTTGCCATGCGTGGTCATTGTACCCATGGGCTGAGGCTCACCTCTTGAGTAGTTGTGTTCGTTCTCAGACCTGTGGGGGTCATGATCCCCAACAAGGATCCCGAGCAATTCTGTACTATGAATAAATGGTCATTATCTGGGATTTAAGGAGCACTCTGCATACTCGGGGCAGATGCAACAACAATAAATACCAAGCAAAGAAAGTTAATCCATGGCCAGAGAATTTTGACAAACAAGCCAGACAAAAAAACTCGGTGGAGACCTGTTGGCTCGTGCTCGCTCTTGTTTATTTACCCACACACGCACTCAGGCACCCATACACGCAATCAGACAAAACCAGAATAGACTCGTTCTCAGCCCTTTCCAAATAACACATTCCTTTAAATAACACTTTTCAAAAACAAGCCGTGATATTTTGGACACGTTCTTCGAAGTGTCAGGGGTGTTGTTTGTCTCTCCACTCCTCCCAGTAGCACCACAGACATGCTGCTGCCCTTCCCAAGCCATGGGGAGATGACATGACATGGAAAGAGGCAGCAGGAAAGCTTCCTCTAGGACCAGGTCCAATGACCATTTCACACCACCAGAGCCAACCATTGGCACGGGCTGAAAAGCAGTCCCTGCTCCTGTTTCCTAACCTGCCAGTCCCCCTATACAGGTACCTGAACCCTTGTCAAACAGTCTGACTTATCTCAGGGTGGAAGGAGTGATGTAATAAAGCCAGAACTATCAAGCACTGGACATTTATATGAACCTTCTGGAAATTTTTTTGGCGTATTGCTCAGCACAAACAATGAGACAGTTAAGTTACACGGCATGTTCTAAAAAGACTCATCGAAAAGCCAGCCAACTATTTCCCCAGTGGAGCTCTAAAATACTTTAACTCCCAGCACAAAAATAAACCAGATGAATTAGAAGATAGGTGAATTCAACAGCTTATTATGGCACATTGTAGAGCAGCCTGCTGTCAGGAGGTCTTGCTTTATAGCCTATTGCAAGCGCATACATTTCAGTGCCTGCAAGCCACAGCACCTTTTCAGTTCCACTTCTGGGGGACAAATCCTGCCCTTAGAATCACAGGAAATGAGGGCTGGAAGGGACCTCAGGAGGTCACATCTAGTCCAATCCCTTGCTCAAAGCAGGACCAGCCCCAGCTAGATCATCCCAGCCAAGGTCTTAAAAACCTCCAAGGATAGAGATTCCATAACTTCTTTGGGTAACCTGTTCCAGTGCTTTACTACCCTTCTAGTTAGAAAGTTTTTCTTAATATATAACCTAAACTTCCCTTGCTGCAACTTGAGACCATTGCTCCTTGTTCTATCATCTATCACCTCTGAGACCAGTCCAGCTCCATCCTCTTTGGAACCACCCTCCAGGGAGTTGAAGGCTGCTATTAAATCCCCCCTCAGTCTTCACTTCTCTTAGCTACACCAATGTACAACTGGGGCAAGTCCAGTCAAGTCAGAAGATTTACAGTGGGTCATACAGTGAGATGGGAATTTCAGGGCCCAATTGTCCATCCACTCACACCAGTTTTATGCTGTTGTAACTCTACTGATTTCAGTGAAGTTGCTGTTGAGTCACAGCAGCATAAAGACAGAGTGGACCACAGCTCATAGGGTTTATGTGGATGAGTTTGTTAGGTATTTGTACCAGAATTAGCATGTCCTTATTAACAACAGAAGAAAAAGGCTGGACCAGAACCTCAGCTGATATAAATGGGCATAATTCATTCAAAGTCAAGGTTCTCCATCAGCTGAGAAGTTGGACAGTTATTAGGAATGTGTCTATTGTCCTTTTCAGAATTGGGTCTTTGCAAGGCAATGGCTCCTTGATCTATTCAATGCATGCATGATGAGTAAACAAATACCATTGGTAAGGAGGAAGGCAAGAGTCATAGCTCTGTCCAAGCCAGGGAAAGACCTTTCATCACCAAAAAGTTACAGGCCAGTCTTCCTCCTCAGCATCACCTACAAACACTATGAACATCTTATCCTGCAATTAATTTCACCCTTGGTAGATTCCAAACATACATGAGACCAAGCGGGTTTTAGACCAGGTCAGTCCCATGCAGGCCAACTACTCAGCTTCACACAGCATATTGAAGATAATTTCCAACAGAAGTTGATCACTGGTGCAGCATTTGATGACCTATCGGCTGCATACGATACTGTCCAACACCGCATCATGATCCACAAACTGTACCTTATCACTGACGACTTAACTCTAAGCCAGACCATCCATAGCCTCTTGGAGAACAGGTGCTTCTACATGGAACTAAATGGCCAGAAAAGTACATGGTGCTCCCAGAAGAGTGGTTTACCACAAGGCAGTGTGCTTGCCCCACTTTTATTCAACATCTGCATTAACGATCAGCCACTTCCTGCCGAATGTCAGCGTTTCAGCTACGCTGGCGATTTCTGCATTACCACACAGCAGAAGAATTTTGAGGACACAGAGAAGATCCTGGAGAGGGCACTGATTGAGATGTCAGATTATTACCTAAATAATTATCTCACACCCAACCCTAACAAAACCCAAATCTGTGCTTTCCATCTGAGAAACCGAGATTCAGAACAACACCTGGATGTCACCTGGGGTGACCAGAGTCTTGAACATCAGAAGCACTCAGTCTGCTTAGGGGTAACACTGGACCGCACACTTAGTTACAAAAAGCACATATTAAATACCAAAGCCAAGGTCAATACACAAAACAGCATCCTGTATCATCTCACAAATGCCAAGTGGGGAGCACATCCATCCACCCTACGCGCTACTGCCTTAGCACTGTGTTTCTCTGTGGCTGAATATGCCTCCACCACCTGGGGATGCTCAAGTCACAGTAAACTTATTGACAATGCCCTAAATGATGCATGCAGCATTATAACAGGCTTCCTAAACCACCCCCCCCCCACCCCCCCGTTCCCTGCCTATACGCACTATTCAGCACAGGGCTCCCCTTATATCAGGAGGAACGTAGAAGGCAACATTGACCAACAGGTACAAGAGTTAGATAATTGCCACCCTCTATGTGGACATCAACCAGTTTACCATTGTCTCTCATCGAGAAATAGCTTTTCGTCTTCTACCATACCTTTGACCACATCACCAGAATCAGCCAGAAGTACCCTCTGGCAAAAGAATGGGAGAAACTGGTGACCAAGCTGTTGAATGGAGCTGGTGAGGAATTACCCCCAGTGAGGAGTTAGCCTCCAGCTCCAACTACAAATGGCATACATGGTGGAGTCTGAACAGATTGAGAGTGGGTCTCAGAAGATGCAACTTTATAATGGGGCCTCTGTGCAACAAACCAATGTGTTTGTCAGGAGAAGTAAACCATGGATCACTTCCTGAGATGCCCTGTAGCATCACAATGCACCCCACAAGATCTGACAACATCAACACCAGAAGCAGTGGCCTGTGCAGAATATTGGGAACAGACTGTATAGAAAGCTTGGATCGGAGACATGACAAAGAAGAAATCCTGTTCATTGTGGAAGTTATTAATGGATCCTATGCCCACCAGTTTCTCCACTCCTCTCAGAGCTCTCACATCACAGCATCTTTCCCCCCAGCGATGAAGAGGAGTCATGGCTCCAAAAGTCTATCTTCAGTGGAAGACAGCAGGTCACTGGAGAGAAATATGAGGCTTCCTCCTCCCTAGAGAGACCTGGCTGAGACTGGACCCTAATCCAATGAAGTCAATGGAAAACTTCCCATGAACTTCCCTGACTAAATCTGGAGCTCCACCTTTGGTTGAAATCAGGATTCCAGCCTGGTACCCCCAGTCTTGTCAACAACTAAATACAGGGAAGTTTCCATTTCCTTTTCTTTCTAGCACACAGCAGCAATTTCTCAATTTATTGACCAAGCTCTTTCCAAATGTAACCTTGGGACCATGCCAGCAGCCTGCAAAAAAATGGTTTGGGAGGGGACACGTTATAATAGGCCACCACTGACAGACACATAGACCTCTCTCTTGCTCCAACTTTTAAGAGCCAAGTATATTTATTTTAGATCTGCATGGATCCCCCATCCAAGCACTAACTAGGCCTGACCCTAGTTAACTTATGGGATCCGATGGGCCAGAGGTAGGCAGCAGTAAGGTAGATCTTATTTAAAAGAATTGCTAGAAACCCAGTTTTTCTCAACCAAGCATTGCCAGGAGTGTTATGCTGGCATAAGTGAGAACAGCATCAGGCCTGAAATCTTCTGGTCTCAGCAGCTTTCTTGATATCTCAGCTTGTTCCAGACAGAGCCCTGCCCTCCTCCACACCATGTGCAGAACTCTGTCACCAGCTTTCTCTTAGGGATGGACTAAAACCTAAACACTGGTTCAAATTAGTCTTGTTCAGGAAAGGCTTGGATCCAGATCTGAACACAATGACTCAGGCCTATCTCCGTTAATCATTAAAGCTGGAGCCTTTCTCAATTTCCCATTTTCAATTCAAGAGGAAACATGAAAATGGCAGGAGCTGAGCCAAGTGGGGAGTGCTCCTAAGAACAAGTTATTCTTATGCTGTCGCCACGGAGAAAAACTTCTCTATCTACGGTGCTGGGCAGGTCCTATCATCGTGGTATCCGAGCCCCTCTGAAGCTCTGGAACATGCATCTTCTCTTTTGACTACAGACTCTTTTCTCAAGGCTAGCCCCAATGTATATCATGTCACAATGTATAGAAAAAGGGTCATTTAATATCTCAACTGAAGATTTCCTCTACGGTTAATATTAGGACCCTTCTTGGAATTTGTAACAAGTGTGCCATGCAATAATTTGCTTTAAAAAATTAACGAAACAGAAAAAAAAGAGAGAGAGATGGGAGGAAATCAGAGGAGGAAAAAGACAGTTTCCTCCAGCATTTGTGCTGTAACTGGATGACATCTGTGCATCAGCCTCAAGTATTTCATGGTCTATCTTACTTCCGCTTGATTTAACTTTCTTCTTGCTCTAATTCTGAAACCATTCCCACATTTCATTGAAACCTTCCTTTTTTTTTTTTTTTTAACTCTATAGTGCTTTGTTCTTCAGGCCTGATTTCTGTTTGATCTGAGTTCTCAGCTGGTCTTGTCACATCCTTCCAGTTTTGTCCTCTTCACCTCTGCAGGTTTCTACTTAAAACATAAAACATAAAATTATGGCAGCTGTGGCCAAGGTGGTGCCTGAAGTGAAGTGCTTTTGGTAGCATCAGTGATGTCACTAAAAGCATTAAGAACAAAAGGGAGTTATTAGGATCCCTGATAAACAGGCACTTGGGAGAAAGTGTGGGCTATGGACAGGAGAGTACCCAATATCACATCATATAGATTTCTATCATATACACTCTGGCTGAGCTGTTTGGCCAACATCAGAGAGAAGCTACTTCATCCCTTCCATTCAGACCAGTAGTGGCACACAAAAGGTGAATTTGGCTTGCAGCATTGTTTGCATACTCTTTGTGTTCACTGCTCTCAGACATGAAGACAACCAGGGTGGAAAGATGGGGAAGGGAATGGCAAAAGTGGAAAAGAGGAAGCTTCTGCAATGGGCAACTTGGCATCGCCAGTGAGGAGGAGGAAGGGGACTAGTAGGTAGTCAGGTATGAAATGGACACACAAGTGATCCAGCGATTGGTGCAGTGTAAAAGCTTGGACCAACAGACTGACGGGCAATCTGAGTGGCCAGGGTAGAGGGGTGGGTTTCAGATAGGTGGCTCAAGCTCCCATTGACCCTATGCAAGAGAATCAGAGATTCACACTAGTGACTTCAAGAGCCCTGGCGATTTTCAAATTGGTGCATGAGGCCCCAACCCAGCCAACCCTATCAATACTCATGTAGCACCCTTCACTTTAGTGGGAGGCTTCACTTTAAAACGGGACCTGACTGCCATGAGCTTTATATTATCCTAGAGAAGATCTGTGGGTAGGTTCTGTGAAAGGACTAGCATCCAAGCTAGACCTTGCCATGGCCCTCTGCTAATAAATCTCTTCTGGGAAGTGGTGTGTGGTCTAGCTGATTAAGAACGGCTGTCCCTAGGTTCGGCTCTACCATGGTTCTGTACTTTAGCATTTGCTTCTGTTGCAAGCACTGGTCACCATTATCAACTTTTCAGGAGCCAGGTTCTGATGCCTTTACGCGCTCCTCCCTCTAAGAAGTGTCTCTTGTTGAAGGCCCTGAATCTATTTGCTGGAGTCAAGTGTTACTCAGTGTAAGTGAAGATAGCAGAACCTGGCTCCAAAGCTGTTGCCTCCAAACAAAAATGGTCAGACACAAAATAACTGATCATACGGTATTCTTGCCCCCCCCCTTGCCTGTTGAAATGAAGCTACCTCATGCTGGTCACCTCCCCATGGAGATCAGTGGGAGAGCGCTCTTCAAAAACAGAATTGATGGCATGAGTCAAGTTCCTCTGCATGTAAAAAAATCACTGAATAAACAACCTATAACTATTTTGTCATGTTTCAAGCACAGATATTTTATTTATCTAACCTATTTTTTTTTCTTTGTTGCCCTTTCTAGGTTCCCTGCTATTCTTATGGCCAAAAGTTGTCCAAACTGGCCATCTTGAGAATAGCCTGTAACTATATCCTTTCCTTGGCCAGACTAGCTGACCTGGACTATAGCGCAGACCACAGTAACATGAGCTTCTCCGAATGCGTGGAGCAGTGCACGAGGACCTTACAAGCAGAAGGAAGATCTAAAAAAAGGAAGGTATGTTCCAGATGGTGGTGGTGGTGGTGGAGGAGGGGGGGGTGGGAAATAACAGAAAATTAATCCTCAAAAATAGCAGGGCACAATTCATCTAAAGTGATTCCCTTCCTTGGAATTTTTCTTTATTCCTAGTCCCTTTCCTTTCCCCGCTGTTTAGGTCGTTCTTATCCTGCCATCCCCCTCCTGATCTTGTAACAGCCGCATTCCTCTCTAATCAAAAGTCTTTCTATCCTTCCTCTCCTCTGTGCTGAGCTCTTCCTCCCCTTAGTTGCCCATCGCGCTTTAACACAAGCATGATCCTATTAGAGTTGTCTTGTGGCTGTTGTTGTTACAGCAAAGCAGCCCAGGGTCACCTTTTGTAGATCATAAAGCACAATCATTCAACTGCATTTTCCGTTTTGTTTAATCTAACACTTATCTCCATGAAAATCATCTGATAACAACAAAAAAAAGTAGCTAATGGAGACACTGTATGTATAAACACATTAGCGAGATGCATGACCTGAAGAACATATGGGTATCTTGAGGAAACAACACTAAATCTAATTACGCATTGCATTCCTTTAGGTTATTTAACATTGAACCAATTAGGTGAAATCATCATCAAGCCACGTTAAAGAGGAAACTGAGCGTTCTGCCAGTTTTCCTCTCGGAAAGTGACATGGGTAAATTAAAAGAGTGATTGATGTCTTTGTTCAGCGTTTTATGACAAAAAGAGTTTTGTAAACTTGAATTGAACTTCCCCCTGCATTCTGGGCTCAGTTGTCATGCGGGATAATAAATCAGCAGGGCTTTAATGGATGAGTGGACAGCTAAACTGAGGCGCATTCTCCCTCTCCTCTTGTAGCAAAAGCTACCTCTGATTCAGAAAGGCTGCCTTATTTCTTCTTTCCCCCCTATTTATTGCAACAAATCATGTTACCCACATCCAGTTTATAAACACAACAGCACAGTCTATGTTGCTTCTTGTAGTTGCCACCAGTAATATTTATGACAGAAGCAACAGCATGGTATTCTGCTCCTTACAAAACACCCAGGAAAAAACACCTTGGGGCACCGACTCTTTAAAAGACCAATCGAATTCAGACCGAGTGACAGGATGGTCCTGAGGATATATACATCTTATTAGATGTCCCTTGCCTGTGTGCAGCTAATGAGACCTTATAACATTTTTTAACAGACCATAAGGGATCACTTGCATGGGCTCATCCTATAAGGTTGAAAAAAAAATTACCATATTTCCATGGTCATAAGAGCCAGGAAGAACCAGGGCAAAGGAAAAACAAAGTTATGCTTCCTGCCACCATCTTGATCCTTCCTCATCCTCTCTAATTACCGAGTCCCGTCACAATGCAATCATTACCCTGTCTTTCTCCCCCCAAATACTTGCACAGCCCTGAGCCCTGGAGTACAGGAATTGCCCACTAGACACTGCAAAACTGACCCTGAATCTTTAAAATGGCAGTGAGCATTATGTGGATGGGAGGGTGAGAGAAGAGAAATGCATCCCAGAACCCAGCATCTCCACCAACCCAAAGGGGAGTGGGATACGGGTTATTGCAGGCCAGTTTTCTGGGTCATGGATTCATGATAGTTTGGGAACCATTGTCTGAGATTATGGAAATGAAAGAAGGACTAATGACAGAACTCAGATGTAGGTTTTAAACACCTCCGTGTTCAGGGATGTTCCGATCTGGGGTTTAGACTCAGACCCATCTTTAGCAAGAAATTAAAAGTCTAAAACTACCATTTATGTTGGTCGTTCAGCATCAAAGTTATTCAAAGGTAAAAAAAAACAAAACCAAACCAAACCCCTATCCAAGGCTCATAAACAGCTAGACTCGCAGGAGGAGCACATACCCCCTTGTGAACAACCATCCGGCGGCAAAAAACGGCATTACAAAATGAGATCTACCATACCCTCAAATTCCCAAAGAGCCACAACCCTCCCCAAACACCCATTCAGAAATAAAAGGGGGGCTCTGCACCGTAGACAGTAGTACCAGGCTCGTCAGTGTGGTCATTCCTAATCAGTTCTCCGAGTCTCACGAGCACACGCTGTGTCAGGGTCCCAGCTGGAATGAGGCAAATTTAAGTAACGCAAATCCTTTCCCACTAGGTGCATCTATAGGTGGGCCCTACAGTATGCATAGTGTCATCCTGCTCAGTATTTCCTCAGATGCCATGTCTGAGGAAGATGCATAATTGCAGCTAAGACCAAAATGAACAGTCAATGTTTGGACACCTTAACCAGTCCGAGCAGTTGGAGCAAATGAGCATTTTATGGCTCCAAGGAGAACCATGCCTGGACAGTATGTGCCACTATATTAAGGCCCCATCTGACTCCTGCAAAACCAAGGGAAAACCCCTCGCTGAATCTTTATTTTCAGTTGGAGCAGGATTGGGCCCCATAACATTTAAAAATGGGGCAAGGTGAAACAGGGAACTGAATAGGAAGAAGAAAGCACTTTTCAATGCCTAAAATTGGAGAGAGCATGATTTCCCTTCATCCGTAGCTGCGTAAAGATGAGATGTAAACACACTGTGATCATGATCAATTTACAGGGCTGGGAGATTTGTTCACAAATGATCTGGGGGCTGGATATTAGGTAGTGTGAAAGCGTCTTGTATTAGAATGTGGAAGAGGATACAATGTCTTGGACCAAAACCACCACTCTCTTACTAATTTTGAAATGGGCACGTTTCCTGAGCTCCGGGTGTGTTTTTAATCAGTTTTCAAAGCTGCTGTTAGCTGGGCAGTTCCACTGAATTATCAGCTTTAGAGGTTCATCCCCTGCTTTCTCTCTAAAGTTTGTAACAAGTCAGATGAAGACATTTAGTCCCCAAGCTGCGTCCATCTATCCATTACGTTCTGCAGGACGCTTATCAACTGTCAGCTTTATTTTATAGTGGCTCTCCCTTGCCCTATCACTCTTGCTCTCAATTCTTGATCAGATCAAGTGTGCAATGGCACAGTAAGCTTTCCACACGCAAAGAAGTAGCTGATTGGAGTTTGTTTTGGCAGGCAATGGCTCCAGATGTTGTATTTGCTGGATTGCGCATAGCCTTTTGCTTTGTTTTGGAGGTTGCACTATCTGCTGTTCCTGACATTAGTCTATTCTTCCAAACTTGCTGTGGCCATAGGAAACAATGGGTTTCCCCCCACATACATACACACCATAGTGCTAATTAGAAAAGTTGGCTTTATGCTACAAAACCATTGGTCTTGAAAATGTTCCTCTTTCTATGCTTAAATGAAGCTTATGGCTGTTGCAACTGAGACTTGAATGAAGGTGTTTGATGATTGGAAAGTTCATGTAAAAGAGATTAGGAGGGAAAATTAAGGACTTCAACAGCCTTTCTAAAGAAGGGGTAGGCAAAATATGGCCCGTGAGCTAGATCCAGCCTGCCAGGGGATTTTATCCAGCCCACAGCGGGTCCCTCAGCCCCTCCCGGCCCAGGTGTGGGGGGTAGCCCTGGCTGTGCTGCATGTAGCCGGTCCCGCTGCCCCAGGCACATGGCGGGGAGGGGCAGGGCTGTGGCCAGTCTCCCTTCCCGGCAGCCCCTGCAGCAGCAGCTTCTTCCATGTGCCACGGCCAGTCTCTGCCACTGGGCCCGGCCCTGCTGTCCAGGCACCTTGCTGCCTGAGGGCGCCAGATGGAGTGGGCAAGTGGGGTCTCCACAGAGACCAGCCCAGGACAAGTGTAAGCAGGGTACACTCAGTTGAGAAAATGGGATGGAGATGCAGGCGGTCAGGGAGCAGCATCTAGGAGCAGGACAGGCAGGTGGGGCTGGGATCAAGGTTGCAGGGCAGTGACAGCATGGGGTTGAGGCCCAGGGTAGAGCTGCAATCTGCTGCCCGCACGTCCCTGCCACAGGCACCGGTTCCCCCACCAGGGGCATGCGGGGAGCAGATTGCGGCTCTGCCCCAGCCCTGTGCTGTCATCATCCCATGATCCCAGCCCCAGCCCACTCCCGGATGCCACTCCCCATCCTCCTGCAGCCCCATCCCATCCACCCAGCCGAGTATGCTCTGCCCGTGTGGGTCCCAAGCCAGTCTCCAAGGAGACTTTGGGAATCGCTGGGCAGTGATAGCATGGGGCCAGATCCCAGGGCAGCACCACTTCCCACTCCTGCCCCCCCCCCCCCCCCCCCCCCCCCCCCCCAACCCAGTCTGCAACAGCTCACCAAAACTCTCTAAGTGGCCCGCCAGCCCAAATAATTGCCCACCTCTGTTCTAAAGCAGTTATCATGGCTTGGAGGGATGGGGGAAATCTTTCATTCTGTCATACAAATGACTTTGAGCATCTAGTAGCAAGCAACCATCAGTTCTTCTGGACCATGGTGTGTGAGAGCTCACCGGGGCTTTCAGTGACTTGGCAAACTGAGTCCTGCAGGCTGGCTGACAATGAGAGGGGACACGCACCTTTAAACCGGTCATCTCAGGATGGGGAGCGTTCTACCCTGGATCCCAGTA